CAAACATTAAATGTGCTCATTGACCTCTGAGGACTTGACACATTCCTCTATGTTGAACAAGACTGTGCAGCAGTGCAGCATAGGGAAGCATCTGCCTCGTCACTCCACCCAGATGGCAGCAGAAAGTATGTAAATTGGTTCATTAACCTTACAGTGCTTTAACCAGTGGGCCATGCAAAAGGCTTATTCAATCTAGGCTTTCTTGAATTTTATTAAGGCCCATTAATAACATCAGGGAACTTCTGCTAATGGCCGGAGGTAGTTTTCTGTGGCGATATCAAACACTATAGTAATTATACGTGGCATCCTTCTGATTAACACTTCTGTGATTATTACACCATATACAAATCCCATTTACTCCCGTTTCAAAGATAGTTATCTATCTTATGGGTTGGAGGAAAAAATATATGACAGCAGTTACCCAATCCCCACAAGCAGGTTTGGATCTTTAACCCCAGACAATAGAGAAGCATACCAAAATAGCAGGGGGTGAAAATGTGAAAGGGAGCTGCGATTTTATGTTGCATTTCCCCCTCTTTATGGAGTGTGTGTGAGGAATTGGCTTGCAGTGTGTGTGTGAGCTGCCAGGAGTGAGGGCTTGCACCTGGAGCAGGGAGGAGCAAGCAGAGGGGCCAAGAGTCACCTCGTGGGCTAAACAGGATCGGAGTTCTCCCTCTTCCTAAGGAGGCCAGACGGCCCCCGGGGCTGCATCTCACAAGAAAGTCTTTCACGCCCCCTTCCTTCCTTTTCCCCCTTCTCTCCTTCCTCTCCTGGTCACTTCCTTTCCTATTCTCCTTTGGAAAAAGGCACAGTAATCCATAACCCACTCAACTATCAGCAGCTCAATTATCCCTCCTGTTCCTCTATTTTCTCCCCTTGGATGGAGATTCAAAAACAATTAACCTCTTCACGGCTGGGGACTTTTCTCAGGAAAGGACATGATTGTAAATTGAAAGACTCCAACATTTACATTCCTGACCATGACTTCACTCCTTCACGTCTAAATACGGTTACCAAAATCCTAATCGTGTCTAATTGTTCAACGTTAATACAATGGATGTTGTAATAGGAAGCTATGTAATATTACAACCCTACGAAGAATTTAATCATAAATGAAATGTGTTGATGTTTAAAACAGAAAAAAGGTCCCCATCTTATTTGTTTTGTTCATTTTTGTTGTTTTTCTTTTCTTTTTTTTTTAAAACAAAGTGTGTATAAGATCTAGAGGTGCCTCCTATTCATCTCCAGGTAGAGAGCCTCAGAGTCTAGAAGGGAAAACAGCTGGTTGCACCCATTGAGCCTTTAATTACTCCCCGTTCAAAGGCTGGTAGCAAGAGACATGCCCTATGCCTCCTAATGCAGTGATGCAAAATTTCAAAAAACAAATCCAAAACAGGAGTGAGGATTGCGAATGGAGCTTGGTGACGGATTTTACAGACCCTCGTTCTTCAAAACATCCCATTTGAGAAGATTAAATTGTTGTTGAGCCCACCGCCCCCACCCCACACACACCCCCTCTTCCAGCTGTTTGAGGATAATCCACCAACAAACAAGTTTATCAAAAGGGAGAAACAAGAAAAACAACTGGTAGCCTGCTAAAAATATCTCCCTGTCGAACAAAGACCCTGACAGTCGGTTTACTAAGAGGCAAACTAGCTAAATGTCTAGCTAACCTGTCAGAACTGGAATGACGTAATGCACAATCAACAGAGAGGGTAAAACAAAGAGCCATCTAAATCTGAATCAATTCATGTCCACCAACATTGATCTTAAAATTTACATATTTTTGTATTTCATGTATTTGGATTTCAAATGTCACAAGACCTTATCTATCAGTTCAATGATGCCATATCAACGGACATCTTTTTAATGTCTATTTCAGGCCCAGTCTTAAATTTAATGTAATGTTAACTTTAATGTAGCAAATGTTTTTGTGAGTCAGGTTTTTAGAAATCTGGCTTAATCAAAGACACAAAGTCAAGCTCATATCAACTGAATTCAATACAAGCACTATATTAATCCCTTTATATGAAAAATAATTGTGTTTTAAGCACAAAGACATCAACTGAGGTCTTCATATGGACATTTTTTATATTTTCAAAATGCAAAACAGACCACTGTAAGGGCTTCATAGAGACAAAAAGTTGTTTTTTCATGAAAGGGAGTATTCTACTAATACTAAAAAACGTTATTATTTAAATATTTTTTATACTAATGTTTTTAAACCTTAAAATCTAACCAAAATCACGTCTAACATCCCAACCAGCCATTTTCTGTGAAGAAAACTAGTTTAATATGGAGTTAAGCCAACAATATTTTTAGATTTAAGCAGCTAAAAGACCTTAATTAAAAACTAAAAGACAGCTCCCACTAAACCCCTTTTACATCATATTAAAGGTTGACAAGTTTCTGTGTTTATTTAGAAGGAAAAAATGTAAAAATTGGAGACACATAATAAGGTAGGTGTATGATAGGCTTAGTTAGCCAACTGGTCAACCCCAATCACACGTTAAATACATTTATACATCAATGGTTTATTCAAGTGGAAACTGTTTCAACCTTTCATTTCTCAACAACAGAACATTGGGATACCAAGGAGTGATGTCTTATTCATATTTGTTTGATTCAATCTTACTTATGGTGTCCGAGCCTCAAAGCCATACAAAACAGTATCTGTTCAAGAGATTAATCACTCAGTTGAAAGATGAAACTGTGCTTCAGGAATAATAATACTAAAAATAATATATATTATATAATAATAATAATAATAATAATATGTAATATATATAGGGTATATATAGGGTATTTGCTGATTTATGACAAAACCCCTTCAAACACTGAACATCCATGAGGTCTGTTCTAATCTTTTTAGCCTTAATAAGCAGAAAGTTGGACTTTTCTTTTCTCTTACATGTTTAGATTTCACCAACCCATCGGAAGTCAAACCTCATTAGCCAATATGATGAATTTAAATGATCTTTTGCCTTTATTCAAACCAAAAAAGTATTTATTTATAGACTTTTATTTTTCCAACCACCTCTACATGTGTTTTTGAGATGAAAAGTAATGTTATCTTTTCCATGACTATTCCACAGAACTCTGCTCGGGGCAGGCCATTGTAACGGCTTCTCTGCACCATCAATCAGTCTTTGTTCTACAGATAAGAGTACTGAACTTAGACTTAAATCACACTTAACGTCACTTTATGAATAAAGACATTCCTGTGTTTTATCACCCATATCCCCATTCACATTTTAAAAAGGCAAAAATAAGAACTTAATGACAAAAAAAAATTAAAAAAAAGATCAAACTATGACATGGTCGCTGTGAACACATAATTGCAAAAAATATGATATCGGACAAATAATGTAAAGAGAACCACAGGGTAAAGTGTCTTGCCTGAAGAACACAAGTAGATCCTGCCTCAGACAAAAACACAATAGAAGACAGAAGAATTCTTTGATGTTTCCTCATGAGTGTGTGTTTGTGTGTGTGTCTGTTACAACTCTGTGAGTCACCCACTTTCATCCAAGATCCATACAGGCTGCACGGCGACAGCAGCAGTAGCACTGAAACCACAACCCTTGTGCATGCGAAGACAAAACACTCACAAACAACATAGCGTGTCTTGATTTGGGATTGTGGAGCGAGGGACGGGCAGGGCAAGCCAGGCCAACAGGAGAACAGGAGTGAGGAAGAAGAAGAAAAGGAAGGCGGAGAAGATGAAAACCTAAAACAACTGGCTGTACTACAGACAGACTGAAACTTCACTTGATCATTATGTCTAGCCTTCAGGTGTCTAGGGTCGGCGCACTGTAGGCAATAGTTAGGGTTAGAGGGAGGATGGGGTGGGTGAGAACAGATAACACAGCAGCCAGACAAAGAGGGAAATAAGAAGCACTGCCTACATACCACCAGCATCAAGAAGCAGAGGGTGGGAGTCAAGGGAGGGAGCGACAAGAAGAGAAAGAGGAGGGTTATAAAAATTTGATTAGACGATCCTCTGCTGAAGTGACTTTCTGTGTCGGGTTTGCTTTTCTTTCTTTCTTTTTTCTCCTTCCCTCCTCTTGCTTGTTCCCCTCCCTTTCGTGCTTCTCCAGACCGCTGCCTGAGAGAACGGAGCAGACAGATTTTATAGGTCCTAATTAAAGCCATCTGAAGCCTTTCAAAACATCAAATGGCCCCGATCCCGGAGTCTTTCCCTCTGATTGTGTGGTAGGTACAGAAAAAAAAATTATAAAATAAAGGCATCTATTTTTTCCCTCTACTCCAGAATGGACATAAATTTTGTAGTCCCTCTTCCCTCCATTGACCCCTAGAACCCTCTAATTTCCAATCAATAAAAAGGTTCACTGAGTGGCATGACCCTTTAGAGATGAGATCCAATCCAATTAAATTTGATATTTATGGAATTTCATTACATAAATGAGGGTAAGAAATAAACTTTTGCTTTTAATTTTGATATAAAAATGACAATCCATCTTCATCTTTGTTAGGCGGTTGGAAGTGAAGTACAGACCTGTTTCAGTGCGCCTCCATCTAATTCTCCTGTTGGCCCCTCTAATTGTCCTCATTGAGCCGTGTGGCCCGGTTGCACAGCCTGCCTCTATGCCTGACTGGGGTCAACGGGTTTACTGTGTGCTTTTTATCTATATTTCATTCTATGGCGCTGCGCGGAGACAGCCACACATTCACAATGAGGACATTCACAGAGACACTCACAAAGAGTTCCAAAAACAGAGACAGGAACAAGAAATAAATAAATAACAACATCATGTTAGTGAAACATTAACCAAGTCAAAATGTGTTATGACATATTCACACGTGCGCGTTTCTTTTTTTTTTTTTTATTTCTGTTTGAATGAGGAATAAAAAGAGAAGCCATTGCGCGCAAAAGTGGAACAAGGCAATCAGTTGAAAACGAAGTCAGTAACAAATCAATACTTTTGCGAACAAAAGCAATCAGAGAAAAAAATAAAATATCATATTTAGACACTTACAATTTATTTAAATAACTTGTGGGTGTTGTTGTCTCGCCGTCTGCATTCCCCTCGTCTCGACAGCAAAAAGTCTCCTCCAGCGGTGAAAGCCGCGTTCGTTGTGCGCCGTCAGGAGCGCTTCATCAGCCTCGTTGCAGGGAGATAAAAGTTTGTCTAATATTAAAAACCTGGACGATCAATTGCAGGGAGCGGAGAGCAGCGCGGACGTCCGGTTCCCTGCGATGTCAGGTCTTCAGTGATGCCAGCGTTGGCCGGGATTGAGCGCCTGAAAGGACTGGAGAGCGCACGGAGAGGCGTCATGTGAGCAGGGGGCGCTGCGCCATTGGCCAGCAGGGTAAAACTGTGATAAGGCTACCCTGCGCACCATTGGTTCAGGACGGACGCGGAGGCGCCTCCTTACTTGACTGTGCACAAGAATGTGAGTTTGAGTGTTCATAATTTTCAACATGGCAAGAACGGGTGGGGGGTCGGCGGTAGGAGTCCATAAGTAACAAATTGGTGCTGAGATCTTTTGCCTTTTTATCCACTTCTTTGCGTCTTTTGGTCATGGTCAAAAGGGGGAATAGATACCATCCTTTTTCTGTCTGGTTTCCTTTATAAGTGCATATGTCAACTGTAAAATACTTAGAAGACTGCAACAATTAAAGAAAACTTAATGTACTGCTCTCTCATTTAATATTGCTTAGTTTTTTCTTTTTTTTTACTTGCGTTTGTTGAATGAATGGCATTCTAATTTTGCTTATCGATTTCTATTGGAATAACACAAACATTATTGTTTTATTCTATGAAATACAAACAGCGTTTCTAAATAAGACCTTATTTTGGAGGATGCATTTTAATAAAATATAAGAACACTGTTAAAAATAATGTATTTCAGCTCTAAAATAGACCAAATGAAATTTGTATTAACGTTACAGTAAAGACAAATACAAATGTTTTAACTTTTCACCAATGTTTAGGATCTCTGGGTTCATTTGGTCACCTAATCAGTTTCTTACAATGTCAAAAAGAAAATGTGAAATTGATTTTTGACGCATCTTTTATAAAGAATCCTCTCTTAAATCCAAATAAAGTTTTAAAGCCATTTTAAAACGTCTAATCCCGCCGATTAAAGCACCTTAAAGCAGATTTTAGATCAGGATTTTAATCTAACACCTGTATATACATACAACATACATATACATCAGGCAAGCTGAATATGACCATCAGAATGGGAAGAACATGGCATACTGTAGTTTTTTTGTGCAAGAAAGGCATTACTTCGTTTCATGAACTGAATCTGACCTGAATAGGCATTTTTGCAGTTTAAAGAGAGTTGGCCAATAAATATAACATTTAAATGTGACTGGCAGTTGTGTTGAGCAGATGTCAGGGATCAGAACAGCCTGCTTCGTGTCAAATTAGAGAGGTGTAAAAGCAGCTTAAATAAAGAGTAGCTACATCCAAGACATGCAAAGACAAACAAAAAAACACAAATAACATGCCAAATGAAGGTACAATCAGAAGCAAGATTATAATGGCTACAGTTCAAAGTCTCATCAAAGCAGGACAACAGCAGACTGCTTAAAAAAACTTGTCAAATGCAATTAAACTCGATTTTGAGATTTGAAATTTAAATTATAGTGTTGATATTTGGAGTAAAAACAAGAATTTGGTTTGATGTCTGTTGTGAAGAGTATTCTGTATTCAGCCATGGTCTGTTGGGCTAGCATCATCTGAGCACTTGACTTAAAGCTGCTCATCAAGCAAATTAAGGAGGACTCCTCTATTCCTGAAAGTCCTCCTCTGGAGATGAATTAAAATATATAATCTTTCAGGTTATATTAATTTCAACAATGAGGACTTTTCTTTTGAGAATAGATACACATTTTTGAATTAAATTGTATGTTTTATACAGAAAAACAGATTTCTAATTTCACTGAGTTATTCGACTGATTAAATAATGGACACATACATACATATTTGGAGATACCTATAGACAGAAGGAAAGACAGACATACATATAAATGTCTACCAAGATATCCGCACTGTCTATGCTACACCTTGTTCTATTAATGCCAAGAAGACCTAATGTGGTTGTGAAGTAAAGTAGGTCTAGGTTAGTATAATAAAGTAGTAAAGCAGTTTTCAAACTTGTCTTAATTATTGTAGATAATAATAACAAAAAGCATTAAATATACTGCATGTTTCTTAGCTCAATAGGGACATTTAGTAGTTTTCTTTTCATGATGGTCAATCTTGTATGTGGCTATAAATTTTACATAATTAAAAATGCCTGTTTATTTCTCTTTTAAATTGTTTCATTACTTTAAGTAAATTGTATTCGTAACCGCAGCAGCAGAGTTTAGCATGTTGGTGTAGCATCTCAGCCACTGATAACATACTGCAGGTATGTGCATAAAATGCAGTTAGCACACACAGTGAGCTGTATAGACTATGCTGAAGGTCAAGACAAATATTGTCATCATATTGGTTTAGCTTTGGAATTAGTCTAGTCTAAGAACTGCAGATTTTAAACTACAACTCAAATGCAGTATAGAATTCTCCATACATGCATAATGACATTTCACAGAGGGAAACTACATAAAAGAGCATCATCTCCAAATATCTCTATGGTCCTCCGGAGTGTGGAGACAGAGGAGCTCAAGAGAATCCTGTATGGGTGGGAAATAGAGCGCATGTAATCTGGAGCACGCATCTTCCCCCTGCTCAGGGTGCAGCATTAAATCGATATTCTGCAAAGCTTTCCCTTGTTTTCACATTCACTTGACTGCTGCCGTTATGTGCCGTAAGGGTCGCGCAGCCTCTCCCTGATTTTTGTGGCACTTGCCTCCTACCCTTTATCCCCCTGTACTCTCCACTTCCCTCATCTGCCTCCTCCACCTCCTCCATCACTTCATTTCTCTTCAGATCCAGACCCCCTCATTTGGTTAGCTTCAAGGCGATACTCCTGTTCCGTTTGTCTCCTGTGTTAACGCGAAGCGGCAGAAATAAGGCAAGACGTTATCTCTGTACAAAACATTATCTCCGCTTGGCTCTTCCAACACCGTGAAACAGTGATTATTAACTGCTTAAGGAGCATGTTTAAGGGTTTTGAGGCTTGTTTGCCACACTTAAAAAACATGAAATATATTACACACGCTATGCACAACATCTTTACATTTTGTGTGGCTGATTACAACGCTTCCTTTGTTTTTACTCCTTGTTAAGTTTTTTCTGCCCTTAACATCAAGGAAATATGGCTAACAGAGTTGTTACAGGACACATCAGTAGAAATTCTCAACAGACACTAACCTATGATTTCATTTCAAGTTTTAAAAGCTTGTTGTGCAGCAGCAGCAAGGATACACCATTTACGCATTCATACACTTGCGTGTTCCCTCATGCTTTGCCGTTATGAAAGCAAAGCTCTGCAAAATGGGTCACATACACTGCAGTGACTTTATTTCAGCAAATGTATTGTGCTTGGGTGAATGTGTGAGTGGTAGACATTTGAATGTGTGATTGCACATCAAAGGCAAAAAAAAAGGGGAGTATTGCTAGGAATCTTTGCTGAAACAGGACTTAAGTAAAGTCAAGCCAGTGAATGTTTTCATCGGTTGGAAACCTTTGTGATTAGAGCTTGCCCAGAGAGCTAAAATGTCCCTCCATTTTTAATACCTTCAAACAGCCAAGAGGAAGATGCCCACATTCAAAAAAGATAAACTCCAGTAGTATCATTTTTATTTTTCTGCAGTCACCCAGAATGGCTAATACTACAACTGATATTTTTCCAAGTAGTGGTGCATTTAAGATTCTCTCCAAAGACAAAAGATCCATCTTTTTGTTTATCTGTGGTGTTCAAAGCATTGTTTAATAAAAAAAAAAAAAAGAGAAGACAGCTCTGTCTGCTGTATTAAACAACACTGGTTCCTGTACAGGCTAAGCTGTGTTGTGTTGTATGACTATTCTAAGACCAATGTTTTGGCATCAGAATATTTATCTGAGATGAAGGGAAGCTTTTCAAAGATTTTTACTGAATCTCTGTCATTCTTTTATATGGATTTTTTGACTTGCATTCCAAAACAGCTGTTCTCATCTTCCCTGCTCCATTAATACGACCCAGTGCTGTTATAAGTTGTTTAATATGTTGGTTGATAATCTGTCATGATTTTATCCAAAGATCTGACCCACATGCAGAAAACCAAACAGAGAGACCAGGGGAAGGTTTAACAGGTTTATTGTAAGTTGGTAGAGAGGAGTCCAGTGCTGCTCTGAACACAGGCGAACCGGGAGTTTCAGGAAAAAGGTGTCTTTCTTTGAATCCAGTCGGTGTTTGTTGTTCCAGTAATAGACTTGTTCGTTGGAGGGCGGACAGGGTTTAACCAGGTTGAGGTGTTTCCTTGAGAAACGGATTAGCTGACTGCCACTTAGATTTCCTGTGGTACTTGAACAGTTTCTTGTGGAGATGAATCCCCTGCTCAGAGAGAAGCCCCAAACAATCCTTGGGGAAAAGTAGATCCAAACCACCAGTGGGAATCCTCAGCTCAGTTTCACTCTCAGAGAATCCTTCCAGGGGGAAGAAGGTCCAAAACATCCAGTTTGCAGGATGACTTCCCAAAACTGGCAAACACTCTGGCGTCGAGGTAGTGGCAGTCAGCAGCTTAAGAGTCCTTCGGTAATGAGGCAACCGTCCTCTGGTGTGTGAGAAGGCCAACGAGAACCAGGCGCCACCTGGTGGTGGAGGAAAACAAGCAAACAACACAAACCACACAAACTGGATTCCTAACATAATCGTGTCAAGGTTCACCAAGATTGTATTCGCATATATCCAAGAACTTGATACAGGGGATCACCGGCTCTTTAGAGTTTCTCCATTATGTGAAATTAAACCCAAACTGTTTTGTTGTGAAACAATAGATTAAATTTAGTTAGCAGTGATTAGTGCCAAGGACAGTTAAAAATGAAGTTGTCTTGATGCAACACAAAAGTTGCATCAAGACAAATGTTTTGTCTCTACTCTAAGAGACTTTGACACTGTGAGAAGGTCCAGAAAGAATCAGCTTTATAAACAGTTCCTCCACATACTGTATTGGATCACCAAGTTATAGCAATACAGTGTAAATTTTAACCTGTGTTAGGTTATTTTAAATATTAAGTTATTTTTCTGGTCAATACACAGTGGGCTGCAGTTTTTAAAAAGTTGGCTGTGCAACACCACCCAAACACCACTTTACAATTGTCTGAGTTTCCCTTAAACATGAGAGCTTAAACAAGAGGTTGTTGTTTGGTAAAAAAAACAAAAAAAACAAAACAG